TCAACCCATTGTTCCCACAAAGCAATTCATCTAAAATACATACAGACTTTATTGTATTTATCTGCTGCAAACGTACTTGATAGAAGAAAGGCAAAATGTTTACTAAATACATCAAATACATTAGCTGTCTTGTGGTAGCCTTTTTACAGATGTATGATAGTTATGTTTCAATTCAACAACATCGGTTTTACATACCTGATTTAAAAGCTTAAGAAAATTGGATGGACATAATGAGTTGTTTTCTCGGTTGCCAATGAAAAATGCCTTGAAAAGGAACATTTTCAGCTAGTTATGAGGGGAAAATAATCTGATGTCTGCCAAAATATTCACTCCCACAATACCAACAATTTCCATGGGGGAAAATGCTTTCCATCATTAGAAAAATGGGATATTCAACAATCCAACAATCAAACTTAATTATTATAATCACTGCAAACTTAGACCTTTGACACCTCCCCCCATCACCCCATAGAGTTACAGGTAGATTTTTTATACCAAAAATTTGTTTGGAAAATTATGCAAAAAAATTCTATAAAGCATGAAGAAGCCAATATTTACAGTAAAGGAATTTGATATGCTGGCAGCAGAGTTGATGCACAATCCTAAATTCACATTGGAAGCGTAGGAAACAATTGCTTGGCGAGTAATACTATTATCAACAACACAAAAAATCCTTGAGGCACATCCTGAGAACATTTCAGTCATATAAAAAGAGTAGGAAAGTCAAAAGCGTCTTTCAGTGGTTGAATTGAAATTGGAGCTGGTTCAGGAGCCTCAGAACCAAGAGGACAATGTAAACTGTTTCAGAAGAGAGGTTTACCCTTTGAATTTCTGCAGCGGTTAGCGATCTTGAGGTAGGAATGAACTGGTAAGCTTGTCATCCTATTCTGTGTGCTGAACACTTGATATTTCATTAAGTTTGAATGTGCTACTTTACAGTATATTCTGTGAAGCTCTTTGAGACGTCTCGAAGATGTGATAAGGTGCTGTATCAAAAAGATGAGTCAAATATTTTATTAAAGGGTACAAACAGTTATTTATCAACATAAGGTTGTACTTTACATGTGAGAATATGAATATTTTGAAGTTGGAGCGATAGATACCTGCTCAAATTCCATTCATATACTTCATTACCAGTACACAAACCACTGTCGCCCATATGGTAAATGACATACTAGAGTCTAAAATACAGGTTGGACTAACAAAACATTGGTTAATGTCCTTATTTATGTAATTACGTACCAATGAAAAGGATTGTTATATGAACATGAGGATGTATCAAAGGCAAGGATACTTAATCCTTTCTATTGGTTTTGGGCCTCGGTCAATTCTGAGATGAGGATTGCAGTTCTTACAAAGGGAATATAGTCAGCTGTTCGGGAATGATTCCTAACACATGAGAGTGTTGTGTGCATAGTAGAGTAATTGCCTTGTGTATATGAAAACCACTCGAAAATGAACATTGTGATATAATGCCAGCAATTTGTCATTGATGTCTCAGTTCTTGTGACAATAAAAGAAAATCAAATAGATGTTTATCCCCCCCATCCAACATCAGGACACATTGTTTTTGTTTGTATCATCGCTGCTTCTACCTTTATTGTCCACACTCAACAAAACCAAATGCTTATCTGTTCATCTAATATTGCTCTGAGTGATTTCTTAATTTTCTAGTATACGTTACCGGAAAATGTTTAAGGTCATAAGGTTACCTCCCTGTAGCAGTATGGACACAGGGCAGAGGCATTAGATCTAATGCCACATGTGCCAGAAAGCTAAAGCCCCATGGATAATCTAGCTAACTCTTGATTATTTGCTTCAGTTATAACTTCTCCTAACACCTCAAACCACAATGTGTATTTCTCTTTCTGACAGGTAGTTATATAATAGTAATAATTGAAAATTGCAGCAGTTTGGAAAGATCCCATATAGCTCTTTAATCATGTCATAAACCATAATTCAAAAATATCATTATGAATAATGTTATTTCAATACACTGTTAAAGAGCATTATGGCACTTGCATGAAATTTACTTTTTGGGAAGCGTTTTTCAGTTGCATTGATTCACACATCATCAAACAGTACTAGGAAATCTCACTCTCCAGGGTAAACTGTTGGAATTCTTGTTAATTTTAAGATGAACATTCCTCTTATCACTATCTTTTGTAATTTGCAGCACACACTAAGATTTTTGCATGCATGGAATGGCTGGTGTAATAAGGGACCACTGAACAATAACAACAACAACATTACATTTGTATAAACTTAAGATGCATCAGATATTTCAGCTCTGTTCCATAAATATATTTTACAGTTGACCTTATGGCCTAATTGCCTGATTACAGTTTTACTCCATTTTTCATGGGTTTTGCATCTGTAATATCAGTCAGGATTTCAGTATATGGCCTGTGTACAAATTAACTTTCAAACAAACATGGATGAATCATCAGTTGATGGAAGGAATTTTGCGGTCATCAACAAACTGAAATTCTGTGCATGACAAGACCATCTGCGTGAATTTAATTATAATCCTTGCATTTGTTATAGCACCTTTCACGTCTGGAGAATGTCTCAAAGTGCTTCACAGGATGTACTGTAAAGTGTAGTGACTGTATGTTACAGTGTGAGGAATCCCTCACATTTGGATTATCAGACGATGCCTATTTCTCCATCTGTAAAGTCAAGAACACTGACTTTTCTAGATTCCTGCAGTAACATGGAATTTATACAGCTTTGACTTGTATTATTATTTTGGGAGGAAATGAATCAATTGTGACAAATTCACTGTGAAGAGCCTCAATTGCTTCCTGAATATAATTGGACACTGTGCTGTGAACAACAGCCTAATCTCTTGGAGGGGTACAGTTGCAAAATACTTTCAAGGCAACTGTGATATTCACGAGCACAGGTGATGGGTTTGACTAAAGCAATGTTTCCATCTCAAGCCATCTATTCATACATTTTGGACAACCGAACTGCCAATTTAAACCTCTTCATTAACTGATTTTTATATAGATCAAGGTGGTTCATACTTCACCTGCAAATGATTTCTGCCTGGATAGCGACCTTGTCTGCTTGCTTCTAACCCCTTGCTCCACTATTGAGTTTCTTGCATGTTGTGATCCTCCAGGAAACAAAAATTACACCTATCCCATCCTGATGGTTCTTTAGACTTGACCCTTTCTCTTTGACCAAGATGAAAAATCAGCCATGTTTCCCCATTTGTCCCCCAGCTCAGGTGCATATCCTGGACATCCTTGGGATATGCTGCTGTAAATATGTATTTTATCTGAATCACAATCTTGTTCAGAATCACAAACAAAACACAAGCAGAGGTTCTATACTGTTTTGAATCTAGTTTCACAAGGTCTCGATTGAACAAGCGGCCAAAGTTATGTGGATGATCTGGTTCATTCCTGATTTGATTGCCCAGTAATTGCTTAAATTTCAACTATGCAACGTAACAATAACAAAAATTTGCATTTATGTAGAGCCTTTCAAGTCAGGAGGACATCCCAAGGGGCTGGACAGATGAGGGTTTGCACTCGAGCTGGCGGTTGGATTTGGGAGGGGTGAAGGGGAGCGGGGATGGGAGGATAACCGAAGGCGGGGTCAAAGAGGAAGACCGACCTTGAAGAAGGCGAGGGGAGGGGTGAGGCGAAGGACTCCTGGTCGGAGTTCCAAAGAGTGGGGGCAGAAAGGCTGAAGGCCTAACCGTCAATGATGGGGTTGGGAATATGAAGCAGGCCAGAATCTGCCAAGCAGAGGGTATGGGTGGGTTGGTAAGGTTTTAGAAGGTCACACAGGTAAGGTGGGTTAAGACTGTAGAGGAATTTAAAAGCTAGTACAAGATTCAGTAGCTTGATCCTCTGGGGAATGGGGAGCCAGGGAGAGGATGGGGGTGATCAGATCGTGGAGCGTAGTGTGGGAGAATGGTATTCAGCTTGTGAAGGGAAGTGTTGTGAAGTCCGTGGAGCAGAGTGTATCCTGCACCTAATAAATGGATGAGGGTCTCAGCCACCCAAGGGGAAAGGTAGTGGCAGAAACGGCCAATGTTGTGGAGGTGTGGCGAAAGCTGAATGGGTCAAGACACGGGTATGGGGTTCAAAAATGTGGGGCAGTTGACTTACATGATTGGAAATTGAAACTTTCACACAATACAGTATGCTGCTTGTTGGAAAATGGGTTCAGATATCATGAATATCGCAATAATTAACCTCCCTCTCCCTTTTTTCTCCACCCCCCCACCACCGCCGCAAAAGCCAATTATCTAGAACTTTTTATAGATTAATGCGTCACTTTAATCCAGGTGTCATAACTGGAGGCTAAATGACCTTTGGAATCCTGCAATAACATAGGACTGAGATTCAAAGCTATTAAAAGGCTATTCAGTTAACTTTGCCCCTACCCTCAGATTCTTTTTGATGCATAGTATTTAAAGGAAATGTATGATGTTGGAATAAAGTAGCTAAATTGCTTTCATCATAAAGATTTATTTGCTGTGTTCAAATGAACAATTTGCCCAGTTACAATAGGAGTAGTCACGATCTTTAAAATGTTGTACCTATGATAATGAGAGAAATGCCTTCAAAGCCAATGTTAAAAATCATGGGATTGAAAGCAGGAATACAGATGTTTTGGTGCCAAAAAAGGGCTTGAGGACATAAAGTGATCCCAAGAGTGTGTGTATATATATGTCCTGGCTAATTGTTGTGATGTCCCTGTATTCATTCCACTGAGGTACAAGAACTTGTCTCAGAGGCAGTCTCAGGTCAGAGCCAAGTTCTCACAGGTCAGCCTGATTTACTTGCCGTTCCCTGGAGGAAATGCAGTTTACATTCAAGATACTCTTCCTGGTGTACCATTTGCACAGCCATTTTCCAAATGAGTGCTTCTTCCACCCCAGTTTCACAATTTTTCAAATGTTTCTGTGATATTTAGAGAGCAGACATAATGGAATACATTGTCATTTTGTGTGAATTTATTTTGTTTTTCTTTAGAATTGAGCTTGGTTGCTGTGCCACACTATGAAGAGATTGGAATGTGTTTTAAGCAGGTGGAAATTGAATCCAACAAGATGGTTGGACAGTGGCCCTCACTGCACATCAATATGAATAACAAGGTAACATACTACAGTGTGACTGCAGCAGCTGTTATTGATTTATAGTCGATATATTCTGGTGGCTTTCATGACCTGACAGTTTATTGCAATTCATCTGGTCTGGTCTATATTTTCATAGTAGTGCTTTGTGTTGTCTTATCTTAACCAGAAGAAACTTGTTTTTTTTTACTTTTTAGGGGAAAAAAAGTCATTATGTTTCATCCAAAATCTGCTATTGTGGAGATTCTTGCACTGAAAATCACAGATTGTGAAAGGGCGACACATTGCATTTAGCATTAAGTGGACTGCTAAGAAATGTCAGAAGAATTGTAAAATGAATAAATGTTAAGTTAATGCATAATGGTACAAGAAATATGAAATGTAGAGGGTTAAATGTCTGTTAGCAAAGGTTGGGAATGATTTGGGTTATTATCAACCGATTTGGGTGATTATCAATCATTATGTGGGAAGTGCCCATTCATATGAACCTCGTGGCTTATCAAGGTATTGGGATGTATCTCCAGAAAGAATCATAGAATCCTACAGCAAGAAGGAAGCCATTCGGACCATTGTGCCTGTGTCGGCACTTTGAAAGAGCTATCTAATTAGTCCCACTCCTTTCCCCATAGCCTTGCAATTTTTTTTCTTTTTAAGTAACTATCCAATTCCCTTTTGAAAGTTATTATTGAATCTGCTTCCACCACTCTTTCAGGCATTGCATGTTTGATTTAAATAAATTTAAATAGGTTAGATAAAAATAGGGAGTGTACCTCATAGTGTGACAATTGTAAGCAACTTCAGGGAGTCATAGATTAGATGATTGGTCAGAGAAATGGCAAATTAAATTTAATGCACACAAATCTGAAGTTGTACATTTTGGGAGGAAGAATAAGGAAAACATGTATCTGTTAGCTGACAAACTTTATAAGGAGTGGAAGAGCAGAGGGACTGAGAGGTTAACATACATAAATCCTTAAATGTGAGAAGGCAGGTGGACTGTTAAAAAAGCTGTTAGAAAAGCAAATAGAATTCTAAGTTTTATAAATAGTCGTATAGAATATACAGCCAAAGATATAATGCTAAACTTATATAAATTATTAGTGAGATCTCAGTTGGAATATTGTGTCCAGTTTTGGTTACCCTTATTTAGGAAAGGCATCAAGGCAATACAAGAGGGATGCGGAGGATATTTTCTTGGGATGTTAATGGGGAGGAATGGTTTGGCCTATGAGCAGAGACTGGAGGAGCTAGGACTTTATTGGAACAAAGAAGGTTGAGGGGTGATCTGATAGAGGTCTTTAAAATTATGATGTGTTTCGATAGTCATGAGGAAGAAATTATTTCCACGGGTTGGTGCGTCAGTGACTAGAAGACATACATTTAGGATAGTAGGTTTGGAGAAATTATTTTATGAGTAGTTGGGGTATGGAACGCCCAACTTGGACCAGTGGTTGAGGCAAAATCCATATCAACTTTCAAAATATAAGTACCTAAAAAGAAGTAAACTGCAGGGGTATAGGGAAAAGGGCACATAAATGGCACTACTGAAAGAATTGCTCTTACAAAGAACCAGCACAGGCACAGTGGGCCAAATGACCTCCTTCTATGCTGTTAGTTTCAATGGTTCTAACTTGTATAACCCATTTGTAAGGCCATATTTGGAATATTTAGTGCAGTTTGGTTGTCCAACCTATCTACAGAACTAAGTTCATTCATTGAAGAGGGTTCAGAGAAGAGCAACTGGAATAGTTGAAACCTACATCTTCTGAGTGGGAAACAGTAAACTTAAGCCCATCCACAAGAAGTTATCCATCCATAAGAGATTAATAAAAGAATTAGAGGTTCACGGTATTAAGGGGACAGTGGCAGTTTGGATTAAGAACTGGCTGAGTGACAGAAAGCAGAGGGTGGTGGTTAATGGGTGTTTCTCGAAATGGAAGGAAGTGCGCAGCGGTGTCCCCCAGGGATGGGTATTGGGACCACTGCTCTTTCTAATATATATTAATGATCTGGACTTGGGCATAGAGAGCACTATTTCCAAGTTTGCAATGATACAAAGTTAGGTAGGGTAGTAAAAAGTGAGGAGGACTGTAATCAACTGCAAGCAGACATTCACAGAATGGTGGAATGAGCTGACATGTGACAGATGGATTTCAATGTGGATAAGTGTGAGGTGATACACTTAGGTAGGAAAAATGATAGGAGGCAATATAGACTTGGTAGCTCAATCTTAAGGGGGGTGAACGTACAGAGAGATCTGGGTGTTCAAGTAAGCAAATCATTAAAGGTAGCGGGGCAGGTAGATAAGGCAGTCAAAAAGGCATTTGGTGTACTGAGCTTTATTAGTAGGGGCATAGAGTATAAGAGTAGGGAGGTTATGGTTAATCTATACAAAACACTGGTTAGGCCTCAGCTGGAGTACTGCGTCCAGTTCTGGGCACCTTACTTCAGGAAGGACATTAAGGCACTGGAAAGGGTGCAGAGGAGATTCACGAGAATGATACCAGGAATGGGGAACCTTAGCTATGAGGACAGGCTGGAGAAGTTAGGACTTTTCCCATTAGAGCAGAGAAGGTTACGCGGGGACCTGATAGAGGTCTTCAAGATCATGAAAGGTTTCGACAGGCTAGATAAGAAAAAGCTGTTTCCGCTGGTAGGTGTGTCTGTGACCCGTGGTCACAGTCTTAAGATATCTACCAAAAGAAGCAGAGAGGAGGTTAGAAGAATTTTTTTCACTCAGCGAGTTGTTCGAATTTGGAATGATCTGCCTGAAAGGGCAGTGAAGTCCGATTCGATAACAGCTTTTAAGAGAGAACTGGATAGGTATCTGGGGAAGACCGGTTTGCAGGGTTATGGGGAGAAAGCTGGTGATTGGGGTTAGTGAAAGTGACTTGCTCTGTCAAAGAGCCGGCACAGGCTTGATGGGCCGAATGGCCTCCTTCTGTGCCGTAATATTCTATGAATCTATGAAAAGTGATTGAAGCCTGATTTCAGTAGATACACAACAGTATGTTAAAGTGCTGATCAAAGGTTGGCTGGTGACTCACTGAATCTCCTGGGAATAAAGTGATTTTCTTGTCCAGTGAGACGTTAGACTTAGCACAAACTCCCTACATCTAAATCTCACTATTCTACATTGATCCCAAGAAAAGTCTGTACAAAATGTCAGAAGGTGAATCTCATGAATTTTCTCTTTTTTTGCTCTTCCACTATTTATCATAATCAATTGAATTCTATTTCCTCATCATCAATGTCGTATTTTAGCTGCAGTTTAGCCTCCTATGTATTCAGGCATTATTTCCACTGTCACATAATTACCTATATCTTGACCTGTCTCTACAATGTTGGTTAGCTTTCTAAATACCAGAAAAAGAGGCAGGTGAAGCAGACCAAAGAGAAAATTAAGAAACTGAAGGTCATCTTCAGAGAGAAATTGAAGAGTAAAAGCAAGACATTACTGAAAGCTATGAGAAACATTACATAATCTAATCATGTAATGCAAAATACAGTTGCAAATAAAGACATAATTAAAATAGAGGTTGAAAAAGACATTTTGCCGAAGGAAAAATAAATAGGAGTACAACTATCAAAGGATACTAAATGGGAGAGGCACAGACTCAATTTAAAAACGATGCAGTAATGGAGGATGAAATTTATGGCATGAGATACACTTTTGCTCTTGAAAGTCAACTATCTAAAGTAAAGTCAGACATTCAAGACGCCCAAATATAAGGCAGGATGTATTAAACTTAGGTCAACATTCAAAACTAGTAATACATATAGCATGTTTTCAGAAGTAAATGCCAAAACCTGAAAGTTGTGATATTCCTTGATTTATTTAATGAACACTTTAAGGAACACTGGCAAGTAGTGCTCCTCTTCAGTTAAGTGGCTTATACCTCTCAGGGTCTTAGGATGTTAGTTTACAACCCTGAGTTGAGAGCAATTTATATTTAATACATTTTAAACCCTAAATTAACTTTCAGTGATTGATCCAGCGACGTTGGGTCTAAATAATTTAAGGAATATCACAAATTTTAACCCCATGGTAACGGGTGTTTTCTTTTGGTTAGCCAGGTGCCTGAGGCACGCAGAAACCCATCACCGTGCTTAATAGTATCCAAATATACATATGTATATTACCTATACCTGGAAATTTCCTGAAATGGAATGCATACTTTCTCCCTGGAGGGATGCACCCTACTTACCTAATTTCAAAGAGTATTAGCGTAGCTTAGAAAAAGTCAAGGCTTGGGGTCCCCAGATTGTGCGTGTACCTTTCCTGAAACAGGTTCTGTATATTTGGCCTCAAATCTTTGCCAGACTATTGGCTATTTGGACCCCAGCAGATTCCATGTAAGATCCTTATCCTACACATCTAGTCACAATCTTAGTCCTCCACTGTTTGATTTCTGGACTGTTACCTGTTCTTCACTTCCTTCGCCAATATAATAATAATAATAATAATCCTTGCATTTGATATAGCGCTTTTCGCATCTTTTAGACGTCTCAAAGCTCTTCACAGAATATCCTGTAAAGTGAATTGACTGTATATTTGTGGACGAACTGCGGCAGCCAATTGTGCACAGCAGTGTCCCCCAAACATTCGTGGATTGAGTGACTAATTTATTATTTCTTTTTTTTGAGGGATTATTATCAGGCATGTGGAGTAAGGAAACTTGCCCAAGCTTTTGCCTTGCCAGGAATTGAACCCAGGTCTCTTGCTTGCGAGGCGAGTGCTCTAACCAGTGAACTACAGGACTCCAACACTCAAGAACCCTCTTCCAAAATCATTTTATAAATAAAGTAATCCTTACATTTGATATGCTGGAGTGCCTTTCACGTCAGGAAGATGTCTCAACGCACTTCACAAGATTTACTGTAAAGGGTAGTGCCTGTGAGGGTAAATGCCCCACTTCCTATCTCCGTTTTCAAAACCCTCCTCAAAAAACATCTTTTTGACCATGTTTTTAGTCAACCATTTAATTCTTATTTCACCCTGCCCCATAATAATTGTTAGGCAGTTTGAGTACTTCATTTTATATGAAAGTAATTACATAAGTGCAAGTTATTTCTGTTGAAAAGAAAATATTAAATTCTGTTTTGTGAGTTCCAATACGTTAAGCTTTTTCTGTGACTTTCAGGTTGGTGATTACTTTTATGGTGACCATGGATAGATAAGAGTGGGAGTGCATTAACTGGAACGGTTCCTGAGTCATCATGCAGACGTGCTGTTACAATTGTGCATCAGGCCCACATGTTTACTGTTAACTGGATGATAAAATATGCAGCAAAGGAACATTTTAAAGCAGTGATTTTCTTTCTTACTGCTTATATTATCCTTTCCTGTCTGTTTCCCTTATATTATCCTTTCCACCTTTGAGAATCGGATAGTCTGACTTGCTGCAGATAGAGTAATCCTCGCTCCTGTTATTGTGAGGGATGGCAGGACAACAACAACAACAAAATTACATTTGTATTGCGCCTTTCACGTCGGGAGGATGACCCAAGGCGCTGAAACCATCCAGTATTCTCTTTTGGTCCAGCATTGCTCTTTTGCATTTGGTGACTTCACCTTGATGAGGAAACTCCAAACAGAGAAACAACATGTATGTGAACATCAGCCGTGGCTGTGGTGGGAACTCTGGATCCCCAAGTGCATGGCTGCCCTTGATAGCATATTATTAAACATAATCACGCAGTTGAATTGACTTTTACTAATCTTTGTCCTCCTCTGACACTGCACCGGTATTAACCAAAAGACACTTTCAGAGTTCTGCGTACCTCACTCAAAGCAGGTGTATGACCTGGTTCAAGTGAGGTTCTGAAGCAATAACAAGGGAACCTCAGTAAATAATTAACATTGATTTATTTTCCAGCCTCATGTATGTTTTGATAAGTGTCCAGTATAACATCAGCAAGTAATTACTCATCGTATTTCCTGCCTCATCTCCTGTCAGCTCCCCAGATGAATTGTTTATATTGTTGAATTGTTCAGCGCCTTGAAATGTCCTCCCGACGTGAGCGTCACTTTACAAATGTAATTTTGTTGTTGTTGTTTGGCAGTGATAAAGCTGATGTTTGTCCTCCTGTCCATCTTGTATCATTAATCACAAATTGTGCACATTTTTATGTTTTTAAAAAAAGACTAAAGGAATCTTCCATTGCAAATATTGAAATAAAAAAGAACTTGCATTTTTATATTGTCTTATCACATTGAAGTGATTCAGAGGGGTTAAAGAAATAACTGAAGCATTTTGAGAGATTGTGCTACATTATTAAAGGTGCTATATAAAGTGTAAATTGTTATTGTAATGAATGTTTGGCATGCAAATGTAGCAGTTATTCTGCACCATACAAAATCTTTCAAGCAATTGTAAGGTGAAAGAGTTTTCAAACTGGAGAACTGTTGGCCAGCCATCAGGAGAAACTTGCTTTTGAATTAGTTTCCTGAAATCTTTAAAGCTCACTTGAGGGCAACGTAGAAGCCTCTCAAAGAGACGGGAATTTCTCTGTGTCCAACAATTCCTCAGATAAAATTAGTCATACTCTAGACGGCTGTTTGTGAGACATTGCTGTGCTCAAATTGGCTGCCGCATTTGCCTTCAAATACACAATGATAATAGAAATTCTGTGAATCACTTTGAATGTCTCAATTATTTGATAAAGTGTTATAACAAATTCAAGGATTATTTTACTATTATACTGGATTGTCTTCCTGAATGTGGAGTTCAAATTCCTTTGTGGGGCTTGAATTAGATGAGAAATGTGAGTACTTTTTTTCAGTTTCTGATTTAAATCTTATCTCTAGCCTCTTCCCCCTTCTCTGCCCACGCCTCGCGTCCCCTCGCTCCTGGAGCCTCCCTTGATTGCTATCTGAAAGGACAAACGGGTGCCCTGTTTCCAGGCTCTTGTCAATTGTGCCTCAAAGCCAAGAGTTAAATACGTGAGGGTATCGGAAGGATTACGAAATCTCTGAATTAAGTTTTTTTTGTCAGTTGTGTGTCTGATGCATGTGGAAACCCAGCGCTATTTAATAGCTGACAAGCGTGGATTTGAGCGTTCACTAGGTGGATAACAAGTACCTGGAACTTCCCAGTGGGTAACACAACTCAGCGTGAGAAGCATGAGAACTATCATGTTCCTGCCTACAGCTCAGACATCCATCCCTTCCTTTTGAGCCATGGGAGTTCCCTTAATGATTCAGATGAAATAACGATCACAAGCTTGATCTTGTACCTTATGGCTGTAGCTTAGCACCATACCATATAGAATTGCTACATTACTGCAGTATCTCTTGACAATCAATCATTCAATACCTTAAATTCACAGCCAGATGTTGACTTCTCTTGTCTTTAATTCAGAATATAATATTCCACAAGGTTGATAGGTTGAATGGTGGGGATTGATACAAATTATTACTGAGATTCAACAACAGAATAAACTAATGTATGATTTTATTTTTAATTTTACCCTAAATCTAGAAGATCCTATGGGTGAAAAATGTTACAATGATTGCATCTATACTACATTTTTGGAAAGGGTAATAATAATCCCACTCTCAACCACCATGAAAGCTTGTGAAACATTCCTCGGAGATGAAAACCAGTGGGAGGTTATTGTGGTGTAATTGAATTGTGGGTTGAGATCTGAGTTGAGTCTGGTTCCTTAATAGTAGAGTGGGCTGAGGAGCAGCAAAAGATGTGCAAGGGAGCAGTAGAACACTGAAGAAGTCGAGACAGCTGTTATTTTTGCCATATGTTAAATAGCAGAATAGTGTCTGTGCTTGTATAGCTATATCTGAACCAGCAAATACTTGAGGGTTTGTCAGAGCAGATGCGAATACAACATACAACAAAAAGTACATGCCTACAGTCACCTTCCCCCACTCACCTCTCCCTGGTTCAGTGTCAAGTTTGGTTACTGTTAAGCACTCCGAGACATTACCCCCGCATGAAGGGTGCTATACAAATGCAAGTTGTTATTGTTGTTGAGTACCTAAGAGTAGCAATTCTCACATGTAATTTCATGGCTAGTTTGGATTTGTTGAGATTTCACCACTTACTGGTATTAAAAAGAAAGTGAATCAGAATTCCACATATAAATTGCTAATATGTAAATTTTGTATTCTTTCGTCGAATATTGACATTAATTATTTGCACGCTGTTTGTGCAGGGTGACGAGAAGAAGCTATCGGAAAAGGGCCTCCATCCTCCAACTTCACCTCTATCACTTCCTGATCAAATGAAGAGCAATATCCTTAAGGCTCAAATGGATGCTGCACTGAAAGTGGGAGCAGAGGTAAATCATCACATGCCTGTTTGGAATGATAATAATATTAATAAGAAACCTTGCATTTGATATAGAGCCTTATCACGTCATTGAGGTGTCCCAAAGCTTCACATAATATATTGTAAAGTACAGTGACTGGGTATTTTGTGGGTGAAATGTGGCAGCCAATTGCGCACAGCAATGTCCCACAAACAGTTGTGAGTTGAGTGACCAACTTATTCTTTTTTTGATGTTTTTTATTATGATCATTATTTATTATTATTTATTATTGTTTTATTATTATGTTTTTATTATTATTTATTATTATAATCATTTTTTAAAATGCTGATTCTCTTTATTTTATTTTTGCCAAATTTCTTCCTGCTGCTTTTCTTTGCTCTTTAAACAAACCATCTTGCTAGATCCTCACCAACTCATCCTGCTCAACTGGCTTATGTATCTGGACACTGAGTGTTGTCAAACTGTTTGCCTGTCAGTGCATCGCAACCGAACCTGATTCTGTCCTCCATATATGTGTTTTTCAGCAGGAATCACTAGATAGTTATCAGGAGTGAGAACCCTGGCTTACTTTTCTTTTCTCACCCTCATGCCAGGAACAGTTGGTGACCTGGCTAAGATCAAATCTTTTTACATCAAACCTTTCTTTTCTGTGTTGACTGGAGGAGTAATTCTACTCAATTTAGAGAGTTTCAGATTATCTACCTTACCAAACGATACAATCAGGGATCATGCCAGTGGTATCCACACTATTTATACAATAACATTCTGGAGTGAAATTGCTGTTGTCATTGGCAAAGTCGCTACATGAGCCGTAACAGAAATTCCTTGCCCTCTTGTGTTTTAAATTAATACTTTGAAGCAACATTTTTAATACCAGGTTCCAACCGTCCATTTATACCATCATGTCCACAGCATTTGTGAGATTGAGGGGTACTGCAACGTGGCACTCCTTCACTCATGGTCAGCCTTAGCCAGGCTGTCCCTTGTTGCTTGGCAGGTGTTGTACGAACTTAAGGCTAAGAAAAACACCATGTTTCTTCAATGTGACCATAGATGTCTGCAAAGATAGTGACTGTGAACTGGTTGAACAGCAAACTCCCACAGTGAGTTTGCTGAACAGCAAACTCCCACAGCAAGTTCCTTTTGCCAAATCTGGGCTGGTGGTAGCATAGTGGGAATATAGTGGCAGGGTTGGATGCGAGGAGAGAGGTGGGTGATGCGGGAGAAAAAATTAATCAAAGCTTGAATTCTGCATTTGTTTTTATAATGAATATGATTCATTTTAGAAACATTAAAGAGCTGATGCTTCCACAACAAAGATCCAGACCTACAATCAAATAATAAATATTTGATATAACCTCATTGAATGAGGAGAGGGAGGTACAGGTACCGGATCCAAAGCTAAACTTTTTTTTTAGTCAACCGGGTGTCTGTGGAAACCTATGCTAAACAGTATCCAAATTCAGACACTGTTCCACATAAGTATGTTACCTACACATAGAAACTTCCAGTTAGGACTTTAGCTTGCAGGGTTAATGGGAGCTAAATGGAAACAATTCCCCCTCCCAAGTCCAGCCAAGGCTGTCATCAGCAGTGCTCTGGAGTACTGCGGACCCACCTGGCTCAGGAACCAGCCTAGCGAGACTGTTACAGAGGATCAGTTCAATTCTGACATTCCTTTGCCAAGTTTGTCATCTTGGAGCCAGCTCTTGATTACCTTTCCCTCAAGGTGAATAATCACTAGTTGATCAAAGTTTGTACTTAGAGTGGAGAAATGCTGCTATAAACTAACACCACGGATGTTGGTAACTTTATCGATCAGCAGAATTGTGAACTCGTTGGTTCTCTAAACAGCAGAGAGAAATCAGGCTCTGGTGGTTATACTCATTCTGCTGCAGTGTGGTATATGGGCATGGGTCTGAGGTACTGCACAGGAACTTGCTTGCAGTGTCACTTTATTCTGCCTTTACTTTAACTTGTTTGACAACATTCCACACTCAAGCTATTGGAAATATGATCTATCTGCTCAGTGCTAAGGTGACATTGCTGACTTGTTGTGAAAACATTAGCAGAAACTGCATAACAGTCTGAGAAATGTGTTCATACTTCAAGCAGGTTTGCTTACCTGTAAACACATGGGATGCTTTAAAAAATGTGGTCAGTTAAGCTGAACTAGTATGTCATGGTAAAATGCTGTTGTTTTTTATTATTGATGTATTTGTTGTGTTATTTTAATTTCCTTTGCTTTCTCTCCCTACCCCCCACCACAGTCTCCCAAAACCACATAGTTTTCCTGATTACTCTCAGACCTGTGCCAGTTCTGTTCAGGTGACAGGTGACTTGGGCTTCCCCGGGGGGTTGATAATGGGAGGTTTTGTAGCTTGTTGGCTGACTACAGCCTGGAATTCACCTTTTATTATTTATTATGCACACTATACTTTCAGGTAAATGACAGGAGAATATTACTCCTCAAACCTGCAATGTTATCATGATGATCATAATTTTTACATGTGCTTCAACCCTATTGTGTAAATCTGCTGCAAATATCTAGAATTCCCATGCGGTTTCATGGAATTTCATCTGATGAAAAGATATAATTTTCCAAAGAAATAGGCATCCAACAACTATTCACATTTTTTTAACAAGACCTATTTCATGATAACTTGCTGATAATGTACATTGTTCATAATCTTGGAATTTCACTATAAATGACTTTTCCATCCTCCCAACACTTGCTCACGCAATAACTAACTCATTCTCTCTCACGCATTCTATCCCTCCCAAAACCCCACCCACACCTGAGTGTTCGGTCTGCTTTTTGCAGTATTACACTCATTTGTGAAGAGCTATATATAAAGAAATATGGGAGTTCTTTATTTAAATAATCAGAGGACTATATGTGACCTCAGGAAACTCTAGATACTTGTCTCCTCTTTTACATCAGATTTGCAAACTAGGATTCTTTGTTTTGTGCGTCCACTGCTATTTCAAAGGCGTCTGGCACCCAAAGCATACTCAACAGCTGCAATTAGTAGATATCAAATTAGATGACACACTCCCGTACACATTTTGGTGGGGGAATAGCAGATGAACTAAGCTGGAATGAATGTTGGACTATTAAAGATGTAGAGCATTTATCAAAAAATGCCAAAAAAAAATGCAAAATACTGCAGATTTTGGAAATCTGAAACAAAAACAGAAGTCGCTGGGAACGCTCAGCAGGTCAAGCAGAATCAATGGAGAAAAGAAAGTGAGTCAACGTTTTGGATCCACGAGACCTTCATCAGAACCTTGACAAAGTTCTAATGAAGGGTCGTGGACCTGAAACGTTGACTCACTTTCCTTTCTTCATAGATGCTGCCTGACCTGCTGAATGTTCCCAGCGACTTCTACCATAGGTGCCAGTCTGGTTCAGTTGGTAACGCTCTTGCTTTTGGGTTAAAAATTATGGGTTGGATGAATTCTACTCATAGTCTGGAATTACACCTCAGTGTAAAGCTGGGGAACCCTGCATTGTCTATGATACTGTCCTTTGATCAACTAGTGTCTATCCTCCTTGGAGAGAGGTAAGCAGGATCTCCTTGGAGCTGAACTGGCTCCAAAGTGACATGTCAGAATCAAGCCAACCACTGGCGGTCTCGGTAGTCCAGTTCCTGAGCCAGGCAGGTACATAGTACTCCACGTAACTGGTGTTGACAGACCAGCCAGCTTGGCTCATCGACAGAACTTGAAGGAGCACTAGGGACAGGGAACCTTCTCGCTCAGCTCCTGTTAAGCCAGAGACCAAATGGATCGGGTGGTCCTAGCTGGACAAGAAACTTCCCAGACAGCACTTCCAATAGCGAGCCATGTGTTATTAGCTGGTTAAACTCCTAACAGCATCCCAATGCATACACTGAGCACTCCAAGCCTTGACTCTTGCTAATCTGTGCCCAACACTCTCCAGAACTGGATAAATAGGGATCGTTCCTCTGGAGTAAAGAGGGCGCATTCCTTTCCAGATATGGAAATTTCGGTGTGTAGGTGACATACACGGAACTCTGCCTGGTTTGGATATTCAAGCATAGTGATGGGTTGCTGCGTGTGTTAGGCACGTGTCTCACCAAAAAAAAAAGTGTGATCCAAGTAGATCTACTTTCCTGTTTGCTGGTTGCATTCTGCACTTACACTTTCAGACTATTGTAACTGTCCTGCTCCCCTACTGACCCAATGCCCAAATGTCAGGTGGATGCAGGATCCCAGCCAGAATCAAGCTGTTAACTGGTTCTCAGTGTTTCTGTATTCTGTTCTTCTTCCTTAACAGGTTGTGAAAGAGGATCCAGAACTGGCCAACCACAGTAAATGTTCCAGTGTGCATGCAGATGCTGTGAGGTCAGTTACGTCACTCTGTCTGTCCCAGTCTTTCACTTCACAGGGCTTCCTGGAGGACAAATTCAGCCATGATTTACCTTTATAGATAAGTGATGGAGTTCTCCTTAGCGTAAAGTACCCTGCGGATTGAGGAAAGCCAGAGAAATAGAAAAGTATATTTAAAATAATTCCATAATAGGAAATGTTTATGGTATGTTTATTCTCCTGCCCTGCTTAGTGCTGCTATACTGCTTCAGAGCTGCCTGCTGGAGCGGGTCTTGGTCAGTAACCAGACAGTGACGCTGATCTGGCTCACTTTCCACAGCTACTTACTGAGTGCTTAATGTCAACTAAACAATTCCCTGTTGAGTCTGGAGATCCAAAATGCTAGGTCTCTGTCAGGGAGGGGTCTCTCTAGGGGATGATAATGATAAACGTTGAATTTGATATATCATGCTGTTGAGATCTCAAAGTGTTTCACAAGATTTACTGCAAAATGTAATGACTTTGAGCTTGTAGGTTAAAATGACAATCAATTTATGCACAGCAGTGTGCCACAAAAACTATGAAGTGAATGACAATTTTACCTGGGAGGGGAATTATTGGCCAGAACACTGGGAGAAAATTCCTTCTCTTTTCAAATAGTGCCATAGGATCTTTGAGGTCCACCTGAACAGATAGACATTGGATTAACATCTTATTTGAAGGATGAAGGAAGAGAGTTGGACCTTATGGACTCTTTTTGTGCAGAAAATATCTATTTTGTTACCTTATAGGGGGAAAAGGATGTAATAAAGATATTATTCGTCTGGATTTTATTTTGATTTTAAACAGGCAAAATATTTATATAACCTACAGCAAAAAATAAGTCAGTTTTTGAGCATATTGCAATGATACATAATACTTCATCAATTATCTTGTGAGCAAGCCCTTGTTTTATCATTGCTGTCATTTTCTCTTTGTATAGTCAAGTTTCACCCAGACTGTTCAATGCAATTTATTTTTTTATTCAGGTACCACTGCATGAGTTTATTGAGAGTCACTATAAGGAATGGAAGGACTCTCTGGGGGAAGAGGGTTGTATCTGCTGGGAGGGGAGGGGGTTCACTGTAGGAGGAGGAGTTTCTATATGAGTGTTCTCATTTGCTTAATTAGGTGGGATTCCTCTCCACCTCATTTCTTGTAGAAAATGTTCACCAGCAAATACAATCACTACATTTTACAGTAAATCCTGTGAAGCTTTCCGAGACATCTTGGCAACATGATAAGGATCTATTTCAAATGCAGGGATTCTTATTTCTCTATATATTTGTGATATTCCCTTTTCTACCTTGAGGCAGCCTTGTGTTATTCTATTAGCAGGGTCGAGCAGCACGACAAAGGACAGCAAACTATACTATTTATTTGTAAGCTTTTGCTGTAAACTTTTATTTGTAAACTTACTTAAAGACAATTTTTCCACTATTTTATTATATTTCAAATTTCAAGACCAGGCTTACCAGATGACTCATCTATTGAGTTTCCCCTGATGGTTATTACACTGGTACTTGTTAGTTCCTGTGTAATAACCATCAGAGAAATGCAGCAACACAAATCTGCAGGAAGCTCAGCGTGCATCGCGCTGGGTGATAGTTCCATGAAATGTCTGCCTTGATCTTCCTCTTGTACTTATGTAAGTTTGACATGTCAGTTGTGGATCCAGCACAGTCTTAACAGTGGGGGTTAGCTTGAGGCTTTTTAAATTGAAATCTTTGCCCTCTGATTTTGTCCTTGTGTTCCAAGTCAAAAAGTCTGGACAATTTAATAAAAATAGTCAGAGATGGGTAAATCAACCAGATCAATTTTTTTTCTTAAAACTGCACAAAGTGCAGTCTGATTTGCAAAATTTACTAAAGGGTGGGAAGCACTAAATGTGATTTCCACTTTGTCATCTAATTTTTAACGCTTGTAAAAAATTTAATTGCAATTTTCAAAAGGCGTTATACAGTCAATTTACTTTACAGTCTATTCTATGAAGCGCTTTGAGATGTCTAGAAGACGTGAAAAGTGCGATATCAAATGCAAGGATTATTATTATTTTTTATTATTATTTTATTATTTGTTATTATATTATTTATTAGTATTATTGTTATTAATATTTATTATTATAATAAGACCATGGACGGATGTAAAAGTGAGGACAAGGATTTTGAACTCTACCTGCTGAGGGATAGGGAGCCAGTGGATCAACAACAACAACAAGATTACATTTGTATAGCACCTTTCACGTTGGGAGGATGTCCCAAGGCACTGGACAACGTATAGCATTTGAGACCCGAGCTAGGGTCAGGTGGGGAGAAGGGAGGGGAAAGTTAGGGGGCTGACCAATGGTCAAAGAGGAGGGTCTTGAGGCGAGACTTGAAGGAGGCTAAGGAGGGAGCGAGGCGGAGTGACTGGGGATTGAAATTCCAGAGGTTGGGGGCAGATTGGCTGAAGGCTCTCCCGCCAATGGTGGGGCGGGTGGGTCGGGGGACGTGGAGCAGGCCAGAGCCGGCTGAACGGAGGGAGCGGGCGCGTTGATAGGGGATTAGGAGGTCACAGAGGTAGGGTGGGGCGAGGCCATGGAGGGCTTTGTAAGTGAGGACCAGGATCTTGAACTGCATCCTCTGAAGTATAGGGAACCAATGAAGTCGGGCGAGAGTGGGGGAGATGGGGTCACGGAGTTTGGTGCGGGAGAGGACACGGGCTGCAGAGTTCTGGATTATCTGCAGCCTGTGGAGGGAGGAGTTGGGAAGGCCGACAAGCAGGGCATTTGCATAGTCGAGCCTGGAGGTGATGAAGGCATGAAAAAGAGCTTCAGGGGCCTGAGGGGTGAGGCAGTGGCGGAGTTGAGCGATGTTACGGGGGGGAGGGAAGGCAGAGCGGGTCATGGCTTGGATGTGGGGTAGAAAAGACAGTTGAGGGTCAAAGAAGACACCTAGGTTCATCAGGATGAGGATGGGGATGATAGGCTTGCAGACTCTAGTGCGGAGGAGGACATGGTCTGCAGAATTCTGGATAGTAATCCTTGCATTTGAAATAGTGCCTAAAATGTTGAAATATCTTAAAGGGCTTCAGAGAGTTTTCTGTAAAGTGAAGTGATTGTGTGTTTGAATCTCATTGGCACCACGTGTTTCAGCTCCAGAACAGCATCCAGCGTTGTTTTGTAAATTCATTGTGTTCCAGACGGGAGTCTGCAGAAAGCTCTTCTATAATAATAATAATAATAATAATAATAATAATCCTTGCATTTGATATAGCGCTTTTCACGTCGGGAGGACGTCCCAAAGCGCTTCACAGAACACACTGTAAAGTGAATTGACTGTATATTTGTGGGCGAACGCGGCAGCCAATTCTGCTTGTAATGAGAACATTTGCTCTCAGAGGAGAGACGCTGTGGTTATTCCTGGACAGCAGGAGAACATGAAAGCTGGCAATTGGTGCTGAACACCCATCTAGACACCTTCTCCAGTTCTCAAGCACAATAACAAAAGTTAATTTAGAATTGAGTCAGTCAGTGTCAAAAACAGCGTCCAAATAAATTATAATAAGAATCCTTGCATTTGATATGGTGCTTTTCACGTCTTCTAGATGTCTCAAAGTGCTTCACAGAATATACTGTAAAGTGAATTGACTGTATATTTGTGGGCGAAACGCAGCAGCCAATTGCGTACAGCAGTGTCCCACAAACAGTCGTGGATTGAGTGAGCAAATTATTACTGTTTTTCTTTTCTTGAGGGATTATTATCAGGCGTGTGAAGTAAGGAAACTTGCCCAAGGTTTTGACCTGCTGGGAATCGAACCACGAGCGCTCTAACTACTGAGCTGCAGGACTCCACGATCTACTCCCAACACCTGCCTTAGGAAGCAGTTGCACAGAAATCTATATCTAAAAAAAAGTTACATTTTTCAATTCCACAGGCAATACACATGTTCATTCAGGATGCATAAGATTTGTCTAAAGAAAAATTAATCTGCATTTCCTGCTGGTAATACAATATACAAACCAGGAAGCGGACACTAACATTTTCTCTTGCCATTAATAGATACTTTGACGATGTATGTTTATGATGAGATACTCCCATCCTAATCATGCCTTCTCAGTCACGACACTTAGAATTTTTTTTTTAAAAATACTGTTCACAAAAGCACGTGCCATCCATCTAATATATTCTAGATAATAAATGACCAACTGGTGATTATACTGGTACAACCCTGGACATGAAAGGCATTAAATTACATTATTGTTGTATCCTTTGGGGGGATGGGGGGGAATAAGCATAATTTGCTTGGGGCTGAGCTGGCTCCAAGATGATGTGTTTTAGCAGGGAATGCTAGAATCTAATCAATCCTTTGTGGCAGTCTTGATGCTTCAGTTCCTGAGCCAGTTCTCTGTGGGTTCACTGCTCTCCAGGGACTCCTGGTAATCAGGCAAAACTTGAAGGGGAACACAAGTCACTTGGGTAGGGATTCTTCCCACTCAGGTCCTGTTGACCCTACAAGCCAAAACCCTAAGGGGTAGGATTGCCGCTGGCCAAGCAGTGTGCCAGCTAACGCTCACAGTGACAACTGTGTTTTTAGTTGGTTAAACTCCAGCAATACCCCTACATATACTCTGGAGTTCCTGTACCTTGGCCAACTTGCACCCAGAAAATTCCAAAATTAAATAAGCAATGTGCATTCTCCAGGGAGAGAGTGCACCTATTATTCAAGGAAATATGCCTTGATGGCATGTATTTGTGGAATTGTTTCTGGGTGGAATACTCTTAAGCAGGATGATAATAGGTTTCTGCTTGTGTCAGACACCACCCTGACAAAACAAAATGACTTATTTATTTTTTTACATTAGTGCATTACTAAGGTCAGCAAGATTATGACTCTGACGCTGTTGACAGCACCAGTTGACGTCCACACATCTCAGATCCAAATCTCTACAAACAATGCTTTTTTTCAGTTAACCAGTTTCTGTATGTAATCTCTGAGTCTTGTGACTAAAACATTCCTCTTCATTCATTCGGAGAGCCTGTTTTTCCACTTTTTAAGTTGGTTTGGGGTATTGCTTTACAAACTGCAAATAGCAATAACTACCTTACTTAGTTTGAGCCTGAGCTATACAGACCAGAAAGGTTCTTAGTTTAATCCCCAATCTACACTGGATTATCTGATCTCAGGTGAGCCAACAGAGGAAATGCCGCATTTGGTAACTTTGCCCTCCTGCTGGGCAGGAGGTTAAAATAGCCAGGGTCTCTACTCTTGATCACTAATTATCGCAAATCTTGATCACTAATTACCTGGGGAGGGGAATTTAAAACAGAATATTTTTCTTTGTTTCAAATTGAATTTACCTTGTACAAATGGTTGATTTGATTTCAATCCAGCTTCCTTTAGTTTTATTAAACTGTGGATTGTGCCCTCTTCAGTCTACGTTTAATAATGCACCTTTACTTCATTGATTGCCAACACTGTTGTTAAACGCTAAGCATTTGTTCAGGGCTTGTAGTTTGTCAGCTGGTTTTATATTTTCAGTCATGTTATCTTAATGAACTCTTTACTTTGTCAGACAATGAATTTAATCTGATAATCAGATTGTTGCAACCTAACCAATGTGTCAATGATCCCCTTTTGACTCTTGACTCCGGTTGAATTTTTAATCCAAGGCATGGTAATATAATCTCTGAGATGATGGATCTGATCAGTTTAAAGACATGTATGTCTAATTTACGTGTTGCATTATAATAATAATAATAATCCTTGCATTTGATATACTGTCTTATCACGTGTTGTTATTCAGGATTGAATATGAGAATCTAATATTTCTGGATGTTTCCATTTAGAAAAATATTTCATGTTAATATTTAATGATGATGTATCCTTTTGTAGATTCCAGGACAGGTGCCTGGAACACAGAGCTGGGTTGCACATCTGTTCTGCAAACCAAAATTTGAGGTTATTTTGATACTGACAGACTACTGATGTGTTTTCCCATTGCTAAGGCAACAGAGGTCAAAAAGTAATGCAGTTTTTTTAATCAGCAAAATCTCAGGGAGCGGGGGAAGGGGAGGCGAAGGAATGGGAAAGATAAGTAGACAGCAGATTAACAACAACAACGTGCACTTGTATAGTGCCCTCCACGCAGGGTAGTGTCTCAGAGTGCGTTCAGCACTCAGGTACTGAACGCAAGTGTTGTTCTCCCACAAATGATTGACAGAATTTGTTCCTTCGTAGCAACGAGCACTGTTGGCACTCTTTTCTCCTAAACACAATGTCCATCAAAGTCACTTCAACTAAGACTGCATTTTTAGCATGCAGTGGTGATTTCGTATCAACGCACAATGGACAGTTTGGGGGCCCTTCAGGCACACAGTTTTAAATGTAAGAGAGAGATCTTGAAATTGAAGATCATGAGAATTTTGGAAAATTCCTAAAGTGATCTGATTTAGAAACTAGTTTTTTTCAGAAAATCAGTCTTGCAACTAGAAACAATAATAATTATCCTTGCATTTGATATGGGTTTTTCGTGGCTTTTCATGCCTGGAGAGAACCTACATTTATTCCAGTTTAGTTCATCTGATATTACCCCAGCAAAAAGTGTGTGACAGCCAATTTGATATCTAATAATTGCAGCTGTTGAGTATGCTTTTATCCTCCTTGGGGGGAGTGGGGGGAGGTAAGCTTGGTCTCCTTGAAACTGAGTTGGTTCCGAGTTGATATGTTTGGCAACGGAATGTTAGAATCAACCGCTATGGCGGTCTCGGTGGTTCAATTCCTGAACCAGGCAGGTCTGGAGTACTCCTGATGACAGCACAGCCAGTCTGGCTCATCGGAAGGACTTGAAACAGCAGGCCAGTCACTGGGGACTCTTTGAACTCCGCTTCCGTTAACCCTGCAAGCTAAAGCCCTAATGGGTAGTGCTCGCTGGATAAGCAGGGAGAAAACTTCCCAGGCAGTGTTCTTAAAGGCAAACCATGCAGTACTCTTGCCAACTTCGTCTAACACTTTACAGAATTAGGTAAGCAAGATGTGTCTCTCCAGGGAGAGAGAGTGCATTCCGTTACAAAAAATATCCCTGGAATTTCCATGTGTAAGTGGGATACATGGAACTCTCAACTTGGTTTGGATACTCTTAAATATGGTGAAGGGTTTATGCATGTGTCAGACACTTGGCTGACCAAAAAAAAAACATTGCAGTACAATTTGCTTTGAGGTACATATTTACCCCAAATTGCTTTGGGGTAAATATTTAAAATATTTAAAAAGATTTACTGACCTATTTTTTCATGAACTCAGTTCTCCTTTAAGGACGACTAAGCAGTAACCGTAAATATTATATTAGTATGTGAATATAATGAGTATTAGATTGCCAAGGAAAACATTCTGTTTTATTTTAAGTCGTCATCATTACAGAATTGGGATGTGCTTTCTAGTTACAGGATTTCCCAAATGACCTTAAGATCTTCCTGCTCCTTTTCCTGCTAGCAGAGGAATTCCATAAAAGTATCAATTTTTATATTAAAACAGGTAGTGTTTGTACATACCACTTCTCCTCTACCTGAGGTCACTTCCCTGCCCTCCCTCTGTGAAATGTTTAATATCTTAGGATCCTCCTTTATTTGGCTTCATCAATGAATACTGCCAATGTAGGAGTTCTGCTTTCAAAATTGTTCCTGCAGCATATTCCAATCCCTGGATAAGTCACTACTTCATTCAAGCATTTATGCATATAATGCACAGTATACCCTTTACAGTAAAATCCTATCATGCTCTGAGACGTTTTGATGATGTGATAAAACATAAAAATGCAAGGCTTATTTATATACTATGTTTCAGTCTATTTATATATTATGTTTTACAAATAAGTGACTTCTTTGTTCACATATCCAGTGTGCGGGTGAGAAACTTACTCAGGCTTCGCAAGGAGCTGAATCACTGATTTATGAGATTCTGGTCTCCGAATGTAAACTTACCCATTTTGGGTGTTGTTTTTAGATACCATGTTGAATGCTAAAAACAATCTGCAAAACAAGTGAACATAACCTGGGTTTGATTCCCAGCAGGGTGAAATCTTGGGCAAGTTTCCTTAAGCTCCACATGCCTGATAATAATCCCTCAAAAAGACACAATAATAAATTGGTCATTTTCAATTCATGACTGTTTGTGGGACACTGCTGTGCGTAATTGGCTGCCGCATTTCGCCCACAAATATATACAGTCAATTAACGTTACAGTCTATTCTATGAAGCGCTTTGAGACATCTACAAGACGTGAAAAGCGCTATATCAAATGCAAAGATTATTGTTATAACAAACCATGCTTCTTTTTTGACTATTCCAGATGTGCAGCACCATTACAAGATGGTACAGCAGTAAGTGGGGTTCAGGAGAAGCAGCGACCTAAAGCCCCACGTCTGAGGAAGCTTATAAGGCAGTATAGCTTGTGAGTAATTTAAGCTCTCTTCTCTGAAAATTATCAGATGTTATTTTTGCTGAACTTCTTTGTTCACATATCCAGTGTGCGGGTGAGAAACTTACTCAGGCTTCGCACGCAGCTGAATCATGATTTTTAGTGAACGTTTCGCTATCCTTCACTCTGGAAACAGGTTTTCTGTCTGTTTTGACAGTTACGCATAGTCGTCCCAGTATCGGGATGTGTAATGAAACACAGCACATCCTGCAAATAGCAGTGCACTTAATTTGAGTGAATTAGGACAACCCACAGTGAGTTTGTTGACAAAGCTGGTGCACTTTCTATCTCACTAAGAGTCTGGGAACAGCTGTCACTCAAGTACCCACAGCAAGTTGTGGATCGTCTCTGAGCCATATGACCATGTCTTTGGTCAGCACTCTTACATTCTAATTTCCCCCTCATTCCATCCCTATTTGCTGAAGTATTTAGAGATTATATAGCCTTAGTGCTATAGAAATATAATTTGTTGTCATTGTGGCATTAGCATTGGTGTTAAGTTGGGGACCCAGGCAATTTTTCATAAAAAGATAGTGGGAAATTGGACAGCAAGTAATGCCCGTGTCAATAAGAGTTTGGGTTTCTCGTCTTCTCCTCCTCAGCTAAGGAAACCATGTAAACCATTAACTTCTTTTTTTACTTTTTTACTTTAGTGACCACCAGTACAAGTAATTCAAGGCATTCTGGGATAAAAATTTGGTTCAGTTATGCTTAGCGCCTTTGATAATGTGTGACTATAAATGGGATATCCCATCAGTAGCCAACATCACCAAATACATATAGCAATGATATATGTATATAGGTGCATGGTGCATGTGTGTGTATATATATCATCGGCAGTCAGGCCTTCAGCCTCTCTGACCCAATCCTTTGGAACTCCATCCACAGCCCCTTTGCCTTGCTCCCTTCCTTGCCTCCTTCAACTCCTCCTTCGGTCACCCTCCTACCCGTACCTTTCCCTGCCCTCCACCACCATGATCCCAACCCCCAGCTCGGGTCCAAATCCCTGACTGTGCATTGCCTTGGGAGTCCTCCCGACGTGAAAAGCGCTATACAAATGTAATTTGTTGGCGAAAGGAATTTCTGCCCGTGTATTTTCTAATGTACTTTGGCATCATAAACAATTTGTAGTGTCTTAATATCTCCAAGATAACGGTTCCTCTCCGGATCCCTATATCACATGTCATGTGATGTAGCAGATGGTAAAAGCTGTAACTATTCACTACTTTTTCAGTTTGAAGGGGAAAAGATTCAAGTCTTTGTGAGTCATGTTAATGGTAAAAAGAAAATCACAAAAGTAAAGTTTATTTTTAAAAAAACTCAGCTGCCAAAGGTGACAACTGAGACATCAAACACTAAACGAGTTAGAGGAAAATATCTCGGCATTATTCTCAAAAGCACTTTTCTCAGCAGGGTATAACAACCACCATTTAGCAGCCAAACGAAAGCACATCCATTTAAAGAGTTGGCAGTGAGATTTCAGTCGTGAGTGGAGGGACTAGTACATAACTATGTAAAAGCTGCATATTGTGCAGGATGATTTTGTCATGCTGTTCAGCCTGAACGCTCCGCTATTTATAATTTAACCTTTTTCTTTAGGAAATGCAGTGCTTTCATATTCTATTATACGATAACTCGTGCTTCCATGATGAATTTTGCTAAATTATTTGCTTTAATTTTTTGTGGGAAGATAGAGAAACACAAAGGAATGTAATATTCTCTTCCCTCTCTTTTCCCCCTCCATGGGTCAGTGACAAGTGAACTATACAGAACACAAAGTCATGGGATTGATCGTTTGTTCACATTGAGTTAGCTGGTCACAACTAAGGTGATAAGAGTTTGAAAATAGCCTCAACACCTCTGGACTGTGGAGAGGAGAAATTAGCTATAGTTTCCACTCTTAATGACTGAAGTGAATCATAGTGGAAAGTGTGTACGTGTATAGCATTGGGTAAAGAGAGGATATGGTTGGCTCAAAGCCACTCACAGCTGACTGGCATGCCAGTGCTCACAGTCTAGACTTGCCCATGACAGGTATCGGAGAAAGATATTTTTGTAGCACCTGATCTTGTCAAAACATTGTAAAACCCTTTACAATAATTATTGTCAAGTTCAGAGACTGTTTTTCTATGCAAACATAATAGCTATTTTGTCCACAGCAAGGTTCCACGAAGAATCATAAGTTTAATGACTAATTTTATCTGATTAACCAGGTCACTTTGAAATCCAAAACACAAGGATATGGACTTCCTTGTATCCAACATCAATGCCATGCACATGTCCATTTTAATAACAACAACAACAAAATTATATTCGTAGAGCGCCTTTCACGTTGGGAAGACGTCCCAAGGTGCTGGACAATCAGTGTTTCAGACACAAGCAGGGGGTCAGGATCAGGGGGGTGGAGGACGGGGGGAACGAGGGTGACTGAAGGTACAGTCGAAGAGGAGAATCTTGAGATGGGTCTTGAATGAGGCAAGGGAGGGGGTGAGGCGGTGGGACTGCAGGATGGAGTTCCAAAGGGTGGGGGCAGATGGCCCACCTGCCAATGGTTGGTCAGGTGAGGCGGGGAACGTGAAGCAGGCCAGAGCCTGCTGAGCAGAAAGAGCGGACAAGTTGGTAAGGGGCTACGAGGTCACAGAGGTAGGGGTGGAGCAAGGCCATGGAGGCCTTTGAAAGTGAGGACCAGGATATTGAACTGTATCCTCTGTGATGAGAGATGCGTAGAAGTATGGAATGGTCAACAGTGTTGAAGGCAGCAGAGAGGTCGAGGAGGACAAGGAGACACAGAGAGCCCTGGTCACAGATGTTCAGAATGTCATTGGTGACTTTGACCAGGGCTTTTTCCATGCTGTGGGCAGCATGGAAACCCGATTGGTGGGGTTCAAAGACGGAATGGCGGGAGAGGAAAGAGCAAAGCTGGGACACAACAACTTGTTCCAGGCCTTGGAGAGGAATGGGAGGTTGGAGATGGGGCGATAAATGGAGAGTAGAGATGGGTCCAGAGAAGGTTTTTTGAGGATGGAGGTGATGGCAGCTGTTTTTAGGGGGGTGGGAACAGTGCCAGTGGATAAGAAGTGGTAGAGGTTGATGGTTTTAAGTATTACGAGGTGACTTATTTATTATTAAGTTTAGCCACACCCTTCCTTTTTGACCTTCTCCATCCTTACTACCCTCTTAATCCCTCAGTTCACTCCTCTCTCATCACCACTCATGAAACCGACCACCTCTTCCCTCGACCCCATCCCTACCCATCTACTTACCTCCCAGCTCTACCTCCTTGCCCCTCTACTCACAGACATCATAAACCTCTCTCTGTCCACTGGTACCATTCCCACTGCTTTAAAAATGGCTGTCATCCTTAAAAAAAACTCCCTGGACCCATTCCTGCTCTCAAACTACCGCCCCCATCTCCAACCTCCCTTTCCTCTCCAAGGTCCTGGAATGAGTCGTTGCTACACAACTTCGCTCCTTCCTCTCCCGCCAATCCCTTCACGAACCCCTCCAATCGGGTTTCCGTGCTGCCCACAGCACAGAAACAGCTCTGGTCAAAGTGACAAATGACATTCTGTCCATCTGCAAACAGGGCTCTCTCTGCCTCCTCGTCCTCCTTGACCTCTCTGCTGCCTTCGACACCGTTGACCATGCTATACTCATCCACCGCCTCTCCTCTCACCTCAGCCTTCACGATTCTGTCCTTGAATGGTTCAGATCATATCTCTCACACCATCTCTACTACATCTCCACAAACGGTTTCTCCTCTAGCCCCCGCACACTCTCTTGCGGTGTTCCTCAGGGGTCTGTCCTTGACCCTCTCCTCTTTAGTATCTACATGCTCCCTCTTGGTGACATCATCCGCAGACATGGGGTCAACTTCCACATGTATATGGATGACACCCAACTCTACCTCTCTGCCTCCACCCTAAACGCCAGGACCACTGCTGTGCTGAGAGAATGTCTGTCAGACATCAAGTCCTGAATGAGAGCTAACTTTCTTCAGTTGAACATCAACAAGACCGCGGCTCTCCTGAATGGCTCCCGTCAGTGCCTCCACACCTCAGGCATTGACAGCATCACCATCCATGGTTGCACACTCCACCTTGGGCCTGCTATACCTTGTGGCAGAACGTTTGAAACACTTTGCCCCTTCCTTCTGGACCTCGCTCCCTGAATCCCTCTACCCTTTCCCTTGCTATTTATTTTTTTAAACAAAAATCCTGAAAACTTGTGCCTCTAGTCAACTCTCTTCTTCTCTTCCCCCAACCTCCCTATGTGGTGTCTAGTAGCAACTCTATAAGGCCTTTTCAGACATCTCCCTATATAAATGTTTATAAAGGCACTATATAAATGCACGTTTTTGTAGTTTATTCCACTGCTGCTACTTTTTCCTGATAGTTTTCACCAGCGATTGGAATGTGAAATTGATGAATAATATCGCTGATTGGAAAATACAGATGAGAAATATGAGACCTCCAGACCCACTATTCCATGAGGTGAATAGTGTACTTCTTTCTGGTAGTACAATGCAGAAAATGTCGGGTAATTTAATATGCATACTGTAGCACAATTCTGTATACTGTAGAAATAGTTTTGATCAAACACTATACCTGCTTTTTAAAACAGTAGAGTCTAAAATGCCTTCATCCTGCAATGTCCTTTACGAAATCACAAATGTGAAATAATAGATTATATTTATGACATTGCATTGATATTACTAAAAGTTCATTTCTGAACTTCATTATTACTGCAGACTTGCTTCTTTTCTCTGCACAACAAATTCAGGCATAAATTCTGGTAATCAGTGCAGAGTTCGTCTTCCTGAAGCTGGTTGAGCGAGGTCCCATCTGCCTGTTCAGATGGAAGTTGAAGATCCCATCGCACTATTCGAAAAGAGAAGGGAGTTTCTCCCGGTGTCCTGGCCAACAATCCCCCAGATAAAATTGTTCATTCAGTCTATAGCCATTTGTGGGATA